TTTTTTAATTATTATTTTAAATTAGGGAATTATTATTTGCAAGCCATAAGTTAAATGACTGCAACTTTCTGAGTAAGTTAGCATTGCTAATTAACAGACTAGCTTAGAGTCAATAATTTTTTTTTTTTTTTTTTTGTCTTTTTGTCTTTTTTACTGACTGGCAACGGGATCACAACCCTCGGTGTTGCGCCCGCACCACGCTCAGCCAGTGAGCAGGAACCGGTCTTCACGTGGGATCTGAACCCTCGGCGGGAGCGCCGCCGCACTTCCCAAGTGGCACACTGTAGCAGTGCGCCACCGGGCCGGCCCGAGTCAATAATTTTTTTTAAATAAACTTTTATCTAATGTTTTACTAAAGTAGCTGAATTATTTCTAAAACATTTCTAGAATAAAGTTGTCCTTTTCAGTCAGAAAAAGTAGATAAGACAGTGCTTCAGGAACTAAATGGAAAACTGGAACTGGCAGAGAAGGCCCTGGCTTCTAAGCAGCTTCAGATGGATGAGATGAAGCAGACCATCGCTAAGCAGGAAGAGGACCTGGAGACCATGGCTGTCCTGAGGGCTCAGGTGAGACACAGGCCTCAGTGAGGCTGACCCCGACCACATTCTCAAATGGAAAGTCATGGTGCTTAAATTATATTTGTTTTATTTTATTTTTTTCCACCAATGAATTTTTAAAAACTTTTCAATTGAAACATGTTCAAGATGCACCAAACTTTTAAGTACACAGCTCAATGAATTTTATTTATCTGTTCTACTATTGATAGGCAGGTGGGTTATTTCCAGTTGGTGGCATTTTGATTAAAGTTGGTATGACATTTCTGTGCATGTCTCTTGTTCACATGTGCTCTCATTTCTGTCGGGTACACGCTAGGAGAGGCACTGTGTGTTCGTAGGCTGTGCATATTTCTCAGTGTTAACAGGTAATGCCAAAGTTTTCCAAAGTGGTTGCACCAATGTTCACTCCCATCAACAGAGAGTTTCCATTGCTCTGCATCCTACCGACACGTGTGTTACCAGTCATTTTACTTTCAGCCACCCTGGCAGGTAATTTAATTTATTTTATTTTATTTGCACTTTTTTTCATTTAATTTACACTTCCCTGATGGCTGTGAGGACTTTAGTGTTTATTGGCTTTTTAGGTATTCTTTTTTGTAAAGTGCCTGAGAAGACTTTGCCCATTTTTCTTTTGGTTTGCCTGACTTTTTCTTGATTTTATGAGTTCTGCATATACTCCACACACAAGCCCTTGGCAGTTATTTTTGCCTTTTCACTCCATAAAAGTGTCTTTCGATGAACAAAATTTCTTAGGATAGTCCAATTTATCAGTCTTCATTTATGATTGGTACTTTTTGTGTCCTGTTTAAGAAACTTTTACTCCCTCAAGGCCATAAAGATATTCTCCTGTGTTGCCTTCCAAAACTTTTGTTGTTAAGATCTACAAACCATCTGAAGTTGACTTTTGTGTAAGGAGTGAGGTAAGGGTAAAGATTCATATTTTTTTCCTATATGAATCTGCAATTGACTTGGTGCCTTTTATTAAAAAGTCATCTTTTCTTAAGTGTTCTGCTGCCCTCTTCATCGTAAATGTGTCAACTTATGCCTGGGTCTGTCTCTTGACTCTACACTGTTCCATTGGTCTACTCGTGTATCTTTGCTCACTACTACACTGTCTTGATTTATTATAAAGCATCAAAAATTTTGATACCTGATGAGTAAGTCTGCCTACCTCATTGGTATTCAGGAGGACTTAGATTTTCCTTTCCTTTTCATTTTCACATAAATTTAAGAGTCGGCTTGGTATTTTTCACACAAAAAAAAATCTACTGGGGTTTTGACTGGAATTATATTGAATATATATAGATCAATTTGGAGAGAATTAATATATTTACAACATTTATTCCTGCAATCCATGAACATGGTATGTCTTCTTTACCTGTTCTCAGTAATGTTTTTCAACTTTCATTAGATTTATTCCTAGATATTTTATATCTTTATGATGCTATTATAAATGGTATATTTTTCAAAAACTTTGTTTCATAAGAGTTGCTTTTGTATAACAATACAGTTGATTTTTGTATATTGACTTTGTATGCAGCAAACTTGCTCGACTTACGTTTTAGTTCTAATATTTCTGAATAATTTTTTGGACTTCGTACATTAATAATTACATCATTTGAATAATGACAGTTTTACTTTTTCTTTTCCAGTTCTTTCTTTTGTTTCTTCTTCTCTTCTTGTTACACTGCCTTGGACCCCCACTACAATATTGTATAGTAGTAGAGACAGTATGTTGCAGCCAGTCTCAGGCAGTACTTTCAACATTTCACCATTAAACATGTGATGCTTGCTATAGGCTTGATATCAGATTAAGGAAATTCCTTTCTCTTTCTTGTTTGCCAAAAATTATTACTTTGAGTGGATGTTGAATTTTATTTGGGAAATATTTTTTCTTCATACATTGCTATAATTAGATAATTTTATGTTTGTTTTCACTTTAGTTTGTTAATATGATGAATTACATTGATTTATTTTAATATTAAACAAACCTTGAATCTCTTCAGTTGTTCTCTCTCTATATAGTTGGATTTGGTTTGCTCATCTTTTGCTTAGGATTTGTATCTACATCCTCAAGTAAGTTTGACTGGAATTTTCATTTTGCTAATGTCCTTGTCAGGTTTTGATATCAGGATTGTACTGGCCTCAAAAACAAGTTGAAGTACATTTCTACTTTTACTGTTCTCTGAAAGAATTTGTGTAAGATTGGCTCATTGCGACTATTTGGGCTCACTCTAGATACTGATGAGTGAGTTCTTGGAGGAAAATTTATGAGTGAGATGTAAAATCACAAAAAAGGAGGGAGACTTTTTTCTTTCTAAGTAACTAGCGATCTCAGAGGAAGTTTTAGGATAATTAGGTACGAAAATATTTTAGATTTGTTTAAATTTGCAAACAGTGCTACTCATTATAAAACAAAATTTTTAGACAATACAAAAATGTAGAAAGTAGAAAATAAAAATCCAACTCCCCCAAATTCCATTTTGGCAAGTGTATAATGGATTTCTGTCTATATTTTTTTGTTTGCTTCTTTAAAAATTGGATCACACTATACCTTTTGTACTGCAACTTTTTCACCCATGATATATCTGGGACATCTCTCCATGCTGACTCAGCCATGTGTTATTTTAATTTATTTATATGTTCTTTCTAATTTATTTTGGGCTGTTGCATAGTGTTCTAAAGTATGTATTATCGTGATAGATTTAGCCTGTCCTCTGCTAATGGACATTTAGGTTGTACCAATATTTTTGCTATTGCCAAGCAGGCTGAAGTGAACATTCTTGTAAGTATGTCTTTGGGCACCTGTGGAATCAGTATTAAGATATAGAAGTGGAATGGTTACACCGTGTGTGCCTGTTTTTAAGTTAAATAAATATTACCAAGTTGTCTTCCAAAAATACATGATCAAAATAACACTCTCACCAGAGTAGACGAGAGCTCCTGTGTCCTCACGTCCTTGCATCATTCTTTTAAACATTTGCCAATCTGATGAAGTAAACAGATTATTTTTAATATAATAATGTCAACAGCATGTCATTCCCTTCATACATACTCATTATTACCAGCTGCCCAGAGTGGCAGACCCCAGCGAAATGGAAGTGGTTGATCAGTACTTAACGCCTTTAGTTTTATTTCTACAGATAGAATCTCAACTTGTGTTCTCTAAGCTCTTTATAGCATTTCCTTTGCTTTGGTAACTCATGTATTTGGGTTCTTCTGCTCTCACGTGGTCATGTGTTTTTGCCGCATTCTGTGTACAGACAATCACTCTGTCTTGATGGATGTCCTTTTGTTCATTCAACAATTCTTTTTTGAGCACCTGTAAAATGAAAGACACCATTCTCACTGCTGGAAATATAAAAATGGACAAAACAAAGACTCTGTTCTCACTGTCTTAAAGCTAATAAGTGATAGAAGTGAGACTCCAGCTCGATTTTAGGTCTGACTCAAAAAGTCCATGATCATCAATGATACCAGCTGGATCGCTCACAGTTGATAGGAAGGCCCTTAAAATGATCTGTTACATACTTGTTGTGATTAAAGTTTTGATAGAATGTTTAGATTTTAATTAATTTTACTTTTTAAAGTAATGGATATTAATTTGTATCTTAGAACCATTAAATCTGAAAAACTAATTTTAAACATAGAAAGTTAAAAAGTGCTATTAGAATTATGCTGACTTCACTCAATTTACTATGAAGTGGTTTGTTTTCCCTTTGTAATTTGATAACAGTGAAGAACTTGCTGTCATGGTGTATTAGTTATCCATTGCTGTGTAAACAGATCACCCCAAAAACTTAGCAGCTGAAAACAATAAACATTCATTCTCTCAAATGGTTTCTGAGAGTCAGGAATCCAGGAGCACCAGGGCAGGGTGGTTCTGGCTCAGGGGTTCTCATGAGGCCGCATTCAAAAAGGACTGGAAGGTCTATTTCCGAGATGTCTCACCCACATAGCTGTCAGCAGGTGGCCTCAGTTCCTCACCATGTGGGGCTCTCAGGAGAGCCACTTGGGTGCCTTCAGGACATGGCAGCCCAGAGTGAGTGATTCAAGAGAGAGCAAGGCAGGAGCCAATGTCTCTTATGACCTAGTCTCAGAAGCCACACCCCATCTCTTCTGCAGGACCCTGGTGGTTACACAGGTTGGCCTATTCATTGTGGGAGGGGATCACACAAGGCTGTGAATACCAAGAGTTGAGAATCACTGGAGCCACCTTGGAGGCTGCAGACCACACATGGAAGTGACTTGGTATATAGAAGACCCCATGATAAATGGACTTCAGTCTGGGCTCAAATGCTGACTTGGCCACTCAGCAAGTTTTCCCAAGATTAAAATGAGGATAGTAATTCTACACACCTAGGGCTTTTGATTAGGTGAAATAAGACAATCAGTATAAAGCACCCGCCATAGGACCTCATACATGTTTGGAACTCAATACATAGCATCTATTTATTATTATTATTTTAAATTTGGCTTAAGACCAGCCTCCATAAATATACCTGGCAAAGTGAATAAGCCATTTACTGTATTAAATTAATCCTGAATGTTATTTGGAAAAAAAAAAAAAGAGGCCAGAGAATTTTACCAAATCGATGATACATACAGTATTTAAATCACCTGCATCGGTGTGGTTGCAGGGTTCTAAATGCTTCAAGTACACGCACACATACAACTTGGATCTACTGCTCGAATGTGGTTGGAAAGTTGTGGTCGTTGTGCTGGTTTCTCGTCGGAATATGTACCTTTCATAGACAAGGCCCATCAGAGGGTGCAGCCCTGCCTCTTCACCTCATAAACAGGGCTGCAGAGAACCCACATTCGTCTAGACAGAAACTTCTGTATCATTTTTTCCTCTAACAGATGGAGGTTTACTGTTCTGATTTTCATGCCGAAAGAGAAGCAAGAGAGAAGATTCATGAAGAAAAGGAGCAGCTGGCATTGCAGCTGGCGATTTTGCTGAAAGAGAATAATGTTTTTGAGGATGGAGGCAGGTATGGTCAAGAGAGAGGGAGACTTGGCACACACGTCAGCACGTGCTGTATAGGAGGTGCACTGCCAGAGATATTTCTAATCTGAGCTGTACGAATCACTCTGTGTCCACTTCACTCATTCGTGCTCCTGACACTTAGTTTGGCTTACTACAAAGCTTGACAGACTTGTGGGAACCTTACCAAGTTCCTTGCTTTCTGATAAGCTGTGAAAAGGAACATTATGTGTCTTGATGTCCTGTCTTGCCACTGTCATGAACAAAATACTCGTAACACTTTGAATTCTCTAATATGTATTAAAAGAAAATACTGCTAAAAATTACTGTTGAGTTTTAAAACTTTATTTTGAGAAAGTTTTAAAATATAGAAAAATAGGGGCTGGCTGGTTAGCTCAGTTGGTTAGAGCATGGTGCTGATAACACCAAGGTCTAGGGTTCAATCCTTGTACAGGCAGCTGCCAAAAAATAAAATAAGATATAGAAAAATACAGAGCATAAAATAACACACACTAGTGCGTACCCCATCCTGAGTTGACAGTTGCTCACATTTCTTTTATTTGCTTTAAGTACTTTTTATTAAAGGAAAAAAAGGGAGGTGTAGGTTAAGTTGTAGTCTCCTTTGTTCCCTGCCCTTCGTTATATCCCTCTCTTCTCTTACCTTGAACTATGGGAATTTGGTGAGTAACCTCCCCATGTATTTTATACTTTTACACACACCCACACACAATATCTTAAGATAATATTGATTTCTCTGTGTTTAAGTTACAAAATGATCACTTAGGTATTATTCTGTAACTTACTTTGCATAACATTGTGACTTTGAACTCTGTTGACATATGCACAATTAATTCATTGTATTTAATTGCTGCTTAGAGTCTTGATTTAGAAATATGCCACTTTTTTCTAATCCATTCCCCTGTCAATTGACAGTTTGGTTATTTCCTAACTGATTTTTAAAAATCTTAATTATTTACTATTATTACATAGTATCCTGGTGCCAATAGTATTTAAAACTCTAATTAGTCTCAAGTTCTGGTTTTTATGAACCTTGGAATTGTATTTTGACTTTTTTCTCATAATTCTGTTGACTGCTTCATATTGTTATGTTTCAAGGTTGTAGAACATCACATGTTGTGTTGCTTTTAATCCCAGTAGGCAGTCCTTGATGGAAATGCAGAGCCGTCATGGTGCGAGAACAAGTGACCCCGACCAGCAGGCTTACCTCGTTCAAAGAGGTGAGTCACACGTGGTTCTTGGTTTTCAGGACTAACAATATCCTAGGAAGAAGATGCTAAGAGAAAAATTTCTCTAAAGTCTATACAATGAACTCCAAATCAAGCTATCAAAAATTTAGCTGTCATCAATCTTGTTTCCACAGTTGGTACTCCAATCTCTATCCATTACCTACTGAATTCAGACCAGAATCCTTACCCCACCTGATAAGGCCTGGCATAGCCAAATTTTTAAGCCTTGTCTCACTCTCTTCTCCTGCAGAGATTAGCCAAACTGAATCCTCCCTTTCAACTCATCCTAATCCTGTAGTACTTGCACATGTTATGTTTATGCAGTGTATTACTCTGTTTTCTGTTGCTTATAACAGAATACCCGAGACTGGGTAATACATAAAGAAAAGAGGTTTATTTCTTACAGTTTTGGAGGCTGAGAAATCCAAGGTCCAGGGATCACATCTGGTTAAGGGCCACCTTCTTGGTAGGAACACTACAGAGTTCCTGTGGCGATGCATATCACTGGACAGGAATGGGAAGAGCGCTTCAATGTGCTCACTTGCCCTCCCTGTAAAGCCACCAGTCTGCTACCCAATAACCCATTAAACCATTAACCCATTACTCCATGAACAGATTAATCTATGAGAATACAGACCTCACAATCCAATCACTTCTTAAAGGCACCACCTTTCATATACCATAAATGGATTTCCCACCCTCTTAATTCTTAACTACCGCTCTTCTGATGATAAATTCAGTATATTTTTGTTTTGTTTCTGCAACCTCACTGCTCATGCGGTTAATCAGCATGTGACATCATGTGACAGAAGTGCCCCTGCCATTTCTCTTGCCTCTTAAGTTTGCTGAACACAAACACTGTTATAATGGAGATCAAGCATTCAACACATGAACTTTTGGGGGACACATTCAACCTACTGCATGCAGTGTCCTCACATAGGTGCCCTTTCTCGTGCATATTCCTGTATGCTTGCAGTCTCTGTCCAGTGACCTCTTACCAATCTTTATTTTATTTTATTTTTAAAAGATGACCGGTAAGGGGATCTTGACTTGGTGTTGTCAGCACCACGCTCTCCCAAGTAAGCCCACTGGCCATCCCTACATAGGGATCCAAACCCTTGGTGCTGGTGCTATCAGCACCACACTCTCCCAAGCGAGCCATGGGCCGGCCCTTACCAATCTTTAAAACCCATTTCAAATTCCATTGCCATGAATCATCTCCCTCCTGACCTTCCAAAGTACTTTATTTCTTTGTTTTAGTACTTATGTGCTATCTTATAAGTATCTATGTTTTCTAAATATGTACTTAGGCACTCCATTAAATGCTAAGCTCTTGGAGCATATATCTTCACCCGCTGCTTGGTGTTGCACACATAATAATGTTACCATTTATTGAGTTTACTATGTGCTGGCACTGTGCTGATCTCATTTCATACATATTATCTCATTTGATCCTCACAAAATTCTATGAGGTATTTATTATCACCTTAATGCAAACAAAACTGAAACTCAACAAGGTTAGATATCCCAGGATCTCAGGGCTAGTTAGGGGTAGACCTGGCAGTGGAAGCCAGGGTTATCTGATTCTGACCACTGCAGGGTACTACACATAGTAGATTGTCACTTAATTAAGTACTGTGTCCGGATTTTAAGTCCCTGAGCGAAATTGATCACGACACTTCTTAAAAGTGCGGTGCTGTATTTATCACATGGTTTTAATACAGTACTAATAATGTTCTATAATTTATAATAAATCACTATCTTATAATGCATCATTGAAAGGGAGGTATTATCCTTGACTCTAGATATAAAAAAAAACAATTCAAAAGATCAAAGGCTGACATAGCTAGAAAAAAAAGTTAATGGCAGTGCTACTAAGAAGAGTCTGGGTTTAGGATGCCATCTTAGATTTCACATAAAACTAGTTCTTTAACTCTTTTTTTTTTTTTATGCTGGACCAGTCTAAGTCCCTTTCACATAACAACTGACAATTGAAATAGAGCTGCAGTCTTAGCAGCAGCAAGGAAATGATGTTAGTATATATAATGAACTGTTAAATCTTGGGGAATTTATCTGGATATCCCTTTTTTTTAAAAAAAAAAGGATGACCAGTAAGGGGATCTGAACCCTCAAATTGGTGTTGTCAGCACCACGCTCCCCCAAGTGAACCACGGGCCGGCCCTCTGGGTATCCATTTTACCTCCCATCTCCCCCCTTGCCCACCACCCACCAAAGTTCTCTTATAGGAAAAAATAGGTTAAAGTAAATATTAGAGGTAGTAATTCAGGTTAAAAATAAACATATTAGTCATGACACATATGCAGAGGAGGTAACAACTGACATCAATTTTAGGTTCAGACACTTTTCAACACTAGTGGGTAAAGCTGTGTTCTTCTCTGGAAGGTGCATCTACCCACTTGAGTGGTGCTAGACATTTTCTCTATCCTGATTTTAAATACAGACCTGATTTCTAGAAGTGCCCTACCAGATAGTCATGGGTCAAAAAAGATAATCTTTTGCATTAGATTTCTTAAGGGAAGATTTTTATTCTTTTTAACTATATAAGGCAAATACCTGTTTATATAAGTAAATAACTGGTCAGTCTTTGACTTATGTGTATAATCTAAAAATCTTCACAGAGTGTAAATTTAGTCTTAACTATCCTAATAAGTTTCTCATAAAAAACAATATTCCAAACAGAGGACTCTCTTAAGATTTTTAGTTTTTTAACAAAAGTGTTTTAAACAACAGCCCCTCTCAATATATTTTATCACTGTTGTGTCAGCAACCATTTAAGTACTCTGTCCCAGACACTCAGCTAAGTGCTAGGAGACAGAAAGAGGCATGGTCACATCCTCAAGGGCTATGGTCCAGTTGGGGAGACAGGATGTGCACATGAAAGATGAATTCATGGTACAAGGTAGCACGTCAGTAAGAGAAAGAACAGTGCTGAGGATAGACGAAAAAATGGTCACTGGGGGCCAGGGCAGCTAAGAAGGCTTGAAGAAATGTGACTTTAAGCTTGACCCTGAAGCTAGGATTTAGAGACATGTGGTACGAGAGTAAAGGGGCACAGGCAGAAAAGGGTGGTGTGTTGAAAATGACTAAGTCTTATAGAGAGAAGAGCCAAGCGGCAGAGGGAACGCGTGAGCAGACTGCACCAGCAGCATGAGTAGGGGTCTGGAAACCTAGACCAGGATGAGAAGAAAGGCACAGACAGAGGGAACGAAGTTTAAAGTGAAGAATCAACAGTCCCTGAGAAGTGGCTGGTTGTTATCTAGAGCAGAGTTTGGCTTACTACAGCCCACCAGCCAAATCTGGCCCGTCACCTGTTTTTATAAATAAAGTTTTATTGGGACATAGTCATGCCCTTTTGTTTACATTTTGTCTGTGGCTGCTTTCATCCTACAGTGGCGGAGCTGAGGAGTTGTGACAGCAGTTACATGACCTGCAGAGCCTAAAATATGTACACTCTGGCCCTTTGCAGAAAAAGCTGCCTGGCCTCTGATCTTTAAGCAATTAGAAAGCTCCCTGCCTCAGAAATCATGCTTTATGGTCAATATATCTATTCAAAAATGCCTCTTAAGTTTGCTGAACACAAACCATCTCTAATAGACT